CATACATTAGCCGCACCTGACTAAAAGCCGCAGGGTTCAAAGCTTGTGCAAAAAGTAGCGGCTTATACCCCGACAATTACGGTATATTTATGAGTACAAAAACCTAAAAAAGACTAATTTTTAAATGTTACAGTGTTTTAAAAACGTGTTTATTATGAATTTTATATTTTTGTGACAGGACAACATTCTTTTAACGTGAACGCGGGAGACCAGCTGCTGTTGTTTGGTTTCCAATTCTTGCCTACGGTGGCCCCTAGAGACAAAGCACGTACAAACTCCAAAACACTTGCAAACTCCAAAACACTTGCAAAATCCAAAACACGTACAAACTCCAAAGCACTTGCAAAAACATGTGTTTTGGATTTTGCAAGTGTTTTGGAGTTTGCAAGTGTTTTGGAGTTTGCAAGTGTTTTGGGGTTTGCATGTGTTGTGGAGTTTGCAAGTGTTTTAGAGTTTGCAAGTGTTTTGGATTTTGCAAGTGTTTTGGATTTTGCAAGTGTTTTGGATTTTGCAAGTGTTTTAGAGTTTGCATGTGTTTTGGATTTTGCAAGTGTTTTAGAGTTTGCAAGTGTTTTGGATTTTGCAAGTGTTTTAGAGTTTGCATGTGTTTTGGATTTTGCAAGTGTTTTAGAGTTTGCAAGTGTTTTGGAGTTTGCAAGTGTTTTAGAGTTTGCATGTGTTTTGGATTTTGCAAGTGTTTTAGAGTTTGCAAGTGTTTTGGAGTTTGCAAGTGTTTTAATGTTGCAGCAGGAGTCCTGACAGGGACTAGAAAGAGAGCAGATTTCTTCTGTACTGGCTTCCTGTTAAATCCAAACACTCTCCTGTCATGGCACAGATCAGAGCTTCACATCAGACTCTTCTGTCGTGCAGTAACAGCTTCATCTGCCTTCTCAGTCTTGCAGAGTTGTGGTAACACAGTCATGCACAATCCGGAGCACATCCCAGCAGGCTAACATTCATGTCAGCTTATTGAAAAGGCCCAAACACGACTTCAGCAGATCTTGTAGAGCAAACTGTAGCGGTTGAAACGACACAAC